GGTCGGATCCGAGCGTCCTGCGCCAGGTCGGGTCGCATCGGCACCGGGTCGGGATCGAATCGGATCGGGCCGCGTCGGCACCGAGTCGAAACAGAAGACTTCGGAGCTCCGCGCGGATGTCTCGGATCTGCGCTGGGGGGCCCTGGCGCGCTCCGCGCGCCTGGGAGGGGGCCCCCGCGCAGATCCCAGAAATCCACGCCGAGCGCCAAAAGTTGTGGTTCATCCCGTTCTGTTTTCTTCGGCTGGCAAAATCGGTATCGAATCGGATCGGCCAAATCGAAACTGAGCCGTGCTGTCCTGGCGAGCAGTGCAAAGCAGGGAGAACGAGAGCCACCTAATGCCTGGCAAGATCCGAACACCGGCTGCAAAGAAGCAGCACCGTGCCACGGGAGAGAGCACGCAGGAGGGCAGCAGGAAGAAGCGGAAGAAGAGAGACAGGACGGTGTGGAAGGCACGAGAGGAGGCGAGCGGCCCGTGGTGCGCCCGACCTGACTGAGCACTGACGGTGGCTGGCGGCACGCACGGCTGAGGCAGGCCGAGGAATTCAGCAGGCCGCGGCGCTGCAGCAGAACAACGTAGAACGCAGAAACGAGCCGCGACGGTATAGTTTGTTACCGCACGTGTGGCGATCGGCCTCAAGACGGATCCGTGGACTCCTGGGTTGGGGACGGGCCATGGCAAGGGCCGCAGGGCAGAAAAGAACAAACGAGCGACGTGCACCAGACCAGTGAGAGCTGACTTGGGGAGACGAGGGTACGTTTCCAACGCACAAACACACACACACACACACAAACACAAACACAAACACACGTTTCCTCCCCCTCTGCCTCCTCCTCCTCCTCCTCCTTCTCCTCCTCCTCGTCGTGCTCGTCTTGCTCCTCCGCCTCCTCCTCCTCCTCCTCCTCCTCCTCCTCCTCCTCCTCCTCCTCCTCCTCCTCCTCCTCCTCGTCCTCCTCCTCGTCGTCCTCCTCCTCCGCTGGCGATGTGACACCACAGAGGGACTGGCTCAGGGGGGGGACATCGAAGTAGAATCGGCGATAGGTCGCTGATAGATTGGCGACAGGCCCCCGATGTGAGGAGAAAAAACAAACAAAAAAAAAACAAAAAAACGTTACTGAGCGGGGTGGGGCACCCAGCCCTGATCGGAGAGGCATGGGCGGTTGGGGGGGGTCGATGCCTCTCCCTCTGAGCTGGCCCCCCCTCCTTGCCGCCCCTGGCCCAGCGATGAGTAGGAATAGAAGGACCCCCAATCCTTCGGGAGGCGACCCAAGTTAGGACGCCAAGCACATTATGGGTAGGGGGTCTCTTCTGCAGGCGTATCAAGCCAAACCACCAAGATGTATTATCCCTAATGCAAAGACGGGGACCTCAGTAAGGCCACGTCTTCACTAGGTTACTAGGGTTAGACCCCCTCTGATGACGCGAGGTCCCCTTTTATCCTCGGTGACTTTTATCCTCGATGACGCGAGGCCCCCTCCGCCCCGCCGACAGTCAGGGCAGCTCAGGGGCAGTTCATCTAAGAGGGCACCGAGAGGCGCGGCTGACCCCATACCACCGCCACCGCCAGCGTGCCTGGCCAGGACTAGGGGGCCACATGCGAACCATACCCCTACCCCCCCCCCCCGATTTCTGAGGGGGGGGGGGTTCGCTCCGCTCGGGAGCTCCCGAACGAAGTGAACCCCACCCTCCCCCGCAGAAAGCGTGGGGGGTAGGGGTAGGGTTCGCATGTGGCCCCCCTCAGGACCGCAGTGGCAGGCCTCAGCCGGATCGCATCGCGAGATCGGATCGGGGAAGCGCGAAAAAACGACCGGGTCGACGGCGAGCCGTCCCAGGTCGAAGCGAAGCCGGGTCGCCGCGCCCGGCTCCGGCGGGCCCCCGCCGATGCCAGCGCATCAAAGAGCCGAGTCGAAGCGAATCGGAAGCGCGCGTCCAGCCGGCGAACCGAATCGCACCCGATGGGGTCGAACGCGGCACGGCCCAGGAAACGGCAGGGCAAACTGCCGTTTCTTTTTTTTGTTTGGGCAGAAACTTGACACGTGACGACGGTAGTTGAAAAAAGCTCCCGGAAACGGGAAGAAGAAGAAACTGCTCCGGGATTGGAGCCGGAACCAGAAGCAGAAAACACAACGACTTTTTTACCTAACAGCTTTTGCTGATAGGTTTCTAGTGGTGTCAAAAGAGAGCATCTGGACTCCATAGGGGGGTCTGGGCGGGTGCCGGGGAGGAGAACCGGGAATCGTTTTTCGCCAACAGTCACACACTTCGTGCTCTTCGACCTCCCAGTCAACAAGAACCGGGAACAGATCGGCCAACAGTACATTTTCCCGGGCCACATGCCCGGAGCCAACTGTAGGCCACTTCGTGCTCTTCGATTTCCCAGAACTCCATTCCCGGGCCACATTTTGGATGCCCGGAGCCAACTGTAGGCCACTTCGTGCTCTTCGATTCCCAGAACTCCATTCCCGGGCCACATTTTGGATGCCCGGAGCCAACTGTAGGCCACTTCGTGCTCTTCAAGTTCCCAGAACTCCATTCCCGGGCCACATTTTGAATGCCCGGAGCCAACTGTAGGCCACTTCGTGTTCTTCTAGTTCCCAGAACTCCGTTCCTGGGCCACATTTTGAATGCTGAGGCAGGCTGATGCTGCGACCGAGGCAGGCTGAGGCTGATGCAGGCTGAGGCTGAGGCCGAGGCTGAAGGCAGACTGAGGCTGAGGCTGAAGCAGACTGAGGCTGAGGCTGAGGCAGGCTGAGGCTGAGGCTGAGGCAGGCTGATGCTGAGGCAGGCTGAGGCTGAGGCTGAGGCTGATGCAGGCTGAGGCTGAGGCAGGCTGAGGCTGAGGCCGAGGCTGAAGGCAGACTGAGGCTGAGGCTGAAGCAGGCTGAGGCTGAGGCTGAGGCAGGCTGAGGCTGAGGCAGGCTGAGGCTGAGGCTGAGGCAGGCTGAGGTTGAGGCTGTGACTGCGACTGCCGTTGCCGCTGCGACTGTCATCGCGAATGCGACTACGACTGCGAGAACAGCAGAATTCTACAACTGGATTTTCATCTGAATCTTAAGGGGAATGCTTTCAGATATGCTTCTACACATCGCTGTTAGGTTGCTTTGCTGGGTTAATGTTGTTTGGGCAGAAACTTGACACGTGACGACGGTAGTTGAAAAAAGCTCCCGGAAACGGGAAGAAGAAGAAACTGCTCCGGGATTGGAGCCGGAACCAGAAGCAGAAAAAACAGCGATGGAACCGGGAATAAAAACAACGCCAGAACAAGCAAAGAAACGGCCGAACGGAACCGATAAAAACCTGCCCCGTCGTTTCCAGGGCCCACTTAAACCTTCCCTGCCGCCGATGCGCTGGCGCGCCGAGCGCGGCAGACCCTGTCAGGGACGCACTTGGCCCGGGCCAGCACAGATCCGGATCGGCCACGGCCCTACCGCGAAGCCCAGCTTGCTGCTCACAATATCTCTCAAGCCCGGGTCAGCGGAGCGGAGAGGGGGGATCGGCCCCACGTGGCTCCCAAGACCGGGTCCACCAGGGGCGACTGACTGGCCCCCCGTTGACGCTGACCCCCGCTGCGCGGGCCCGCACCTGCGTGCCGAGCGCGGTGGCCGCGGGCCACAGCGGTCTCTTTTTGATCAGCAACAGAAGGAACCCTAACCCTTTGGGAGGGGACCTGATCAAGTCAGGAGGGCCAGGAATGTTAGGGATTGGGGGACTTTTCTCAAACCGCCCAGATCTATCATCCCTAATGCTGAACCGGGGATCTCAGTGAGGCCACGTCTTCGGCGTGCCTTGTTCGCGGGTTAAGGTTAAGTCGGGCCTGTCCCCCTTACAGGGGGGTTTTGGGCGAGAAATAAACAATGCTCCAAAAAAACTCCCCAGAAATGCCCCAGAAGAGTCCCGAAAACAGTCCCCTGACTGTTTTGCTCCACTATCTCTGAACATTCCCCCTCTAGAGAGGGATAGGCCCGACTCGGGGTCAGGGGTCCTGTTGCTCCCGATGGCTTTCTCGCGGCGCGGGAGGTCGCCGCCGCGCGGCCCCCTTGGGGGGCAGAGTGTCGCCCGGCGCCGCCGCCGCCGGCGCCGGCCGCCCCGCGCTCGGGCGGCCGCCCGGCCCGCGAGCCGGCGGCTGGCCTACCTCTGGGCGGGGGCCCGGGCACGCGCCCAGCGCCTGCGGAGCCGAGGGACCTCTCGGGACCTCTCGGGGGGGCCCGCGCGGCGAAGCCTTCGCGGCGTCGCAGGTCTGGGAGCCCGGGGGTTCGAGGGGCCGCGAGGGTCGACGTCTCTTCGGGCGCCCTCCGCTGCCCCTCCGGGCGCCCTCTGGGGCGCCCCCGCGGCCACGGCTGGACTCTCCCCGAGCGAGGGCTGGGGGGCCGTCTCGTGCTCGCATCCCAACGGGGGGGAGCCATGACAGGAGGGGACTGGCTCAGGGGGGAGCCCGCGAGCTGGCATCGGCGATGGATCGCCGCTGGATCGGCAGTGGGCCCCCCGACAGGAAAGCCGCACGTTCCTGGGCGAGGTGGGCCATCGGGCTCCCATCGGCATTGGGGCGTCGCTGCACCCCCCCCGGAGCGCATCTCCCCCCCTGACGTTGAGCCCGGCCCAGGGGGGCGGTGGACGCGGCTGCGCGTGCGGCCCCAGGGGAGGCCCGCGTGTGCCCGTGTGCCCACCGGTCGGCTCCGCACGGGCGGTGGGCACGCGCACAGACCCCAGCCCAGGATGGCTGAAGGGGCCCTTGGACGCACAAATAAACCCAAACAACTCCCAGGAGACCCCATATTTGTCCTCATATATATATATATATAAAAAAAAGATATACATGTATAAATATATAAAGATATATTTTTATATTTACACGCACACACACACACACACACACACACACACACATATATATATATATATATATATATATATGGATGTGTGTGATATTCGTCTTCCCTCCCCCTTCCCAAATTACCGCATGTCTTCCTGGGAATCGGCGATGAATTGTGTCTGTGTGGTTTCTCCCTTCCCGAATGGCTGCCCTCGCCCCGACCGCTCTGCGAGTCTGGCGCCACGGCGCCCCCGCAGGGGTCCGTGGGGCTGCCCGCGGGACACGCCGGGGCTGCGTCGGGCAGGGCCGCTGCCGGCAGCGAGGCGGCTAGCCGGGGCGCGGAGGCGTGGTCTCGGGAGAGCGAGCAGCTCCGCGTGGTGCACGTCTCCCCTGTGGCTCGAGTGGCCAGGTAAACACATCCAACACAACAGGAGGCCCAGACCCCCTCGGGTCATGAAGAAATCACGACGGGAGGTTGTTCGCTATTTTCGGCCTCTGGGGGCCCTCACTGGGCCTCGGGACCGTCAAAAAACGACTCGTGATGAGAAGCCGGTCCCGGGGAATGGGTCGATATCTTTGAGAGTAGACGTCATGAAAAATTCATGGCGTCGGGGGTCTGGGGAGGGGGAGGGGAGGGGAGGAAATTCGCGGCATCAGGAACGCAGCACACATCAAAACACAACTCCTGCAGTCCTGGCCGCGTGACCCGGCTCCACCAGGGCACCCTGGCGCAGGTCACACGCATATCCACATGTCTCCTGAAAGCCGTCCACTTCAGTGCGGACGATGCCCTGCAAAGAACTAAACTGGTTAAAAAATATCCAGGCTCATATAAACTGCAACATTCACAAAACAAGCTTGCACCAGAGGTACCTTGTAGTACGGAATTGGCTGCAAGTTCTGCGTATTCGCCTGGTGGGCGCGCGCGGTCGCGTGCCCCCAGGGTCTTCTCGCATGGCTTTTCCTGAGGCCAGAAGGCGCAAAGGGCGGGCCACGAGGGTCCCAGGAGGGGTCCCAAACGGTCCAACAGGCTCAAGATCGCTCCAAAACGCCCGCGATAGCCTCAAGACGGCCCAAGAGGCCTCCAAGACGCACCCAGAGGCCCCAAGAGGACCCCCCACGAGGGCCCCAAGAAGCGAAAATCATTCCCCAGAGATACCCAATCGCCCCAAGAGGACTCTCAGACGGCCCAAGAAGTCCCCAAGACAGCCCCCCCAAAAAAAACCAGAGGGTCCCAAGAGGGATCCGAAAGAGGGAAAGCGAAAGGGCCCCTGGAGCCTTCCCATCCAGGAGCCCCCCAGAAGCGCCACCGCTACCATAAGTAATAGGGGGAGTGGGGGCTCCCCCTCCTCCTCCTCCTCCTCCTCCTCCTCCTCCTCCTCCCTCCTCCTCCTCCTCCTCCTCCTCCTCCTCCTCCTCGTCCTCCTCCTCCTCCTCCTCCTCCTCCTCCTCCTCCTCCTCCTCCTCCTCCCTCCTCCTCCTCGTCCTCCACCTCCTTCCCCCCTCCAACTTATGGTCGTGGTGGTGGAAAACATGCCCATCACAGGAACGGTAGCGGGATGAGCCGAAGGCTCAAAATAACTTCCGACATGCAGATTGAACTGCACGGGTCTTGCGGGTTCTCACGCGGTGTTTGCCCGTGGCGGCCTCTCCAGCCTGCTCCTTGCGGTGGCTGGGTGCTCCGGGTCTGCGCCCGGCGCTTGCAAGTGCCCGTCTCGTGCCTGCCCCGTGCCCTGGTTCGCGCCTCAGGATGCACACGTAGCTTGCATCACAGAGATTACGTCACATAGCTTGTACCACATTGGTTGCGCCCCATGTATTGCACGACGTAGCTTACATCGCGCTGATTGCAACCGACAGATTCCAACGAGTAGCTTGCGCCACATAGAATGCACCACATAGCTCGCACCGCGTATCTTACACCCCATCGGATGCACAACATATACTGCGATCCACATCTTGCACCAAACAGACTGCACCACCTGGATTGACCACTATAGCTTGCACCAAATATATTGTACAACGTCTGCCAGAATGCACATGTTGCACTGCATAGGTTGCACCGCGTAGAGCGCACATCGGGAGAGCAGGAATTCACTGTTAGGGGTCCACGCTGGCAAACATGGAATCAGCTGAAGCCAGATGAATAAAGGCTCAAGAGCGCAGCATGGCAGCCTGGAAACTCGCAGCACGGCGCAGGCAACTACAGACGAGCGCTGCAATCTTCGAGATGGCGGCGCGCACAAGAGAGAGGGGGGGGGGCTGGCGGCCTCTCGAGACGGCGGGGGGGGGTCAAAGAAAGCGGGAGGCTTCTTGAAGCCCTCACGACTTCTGGGAGAGGTCCTGTTGGAAGCCTCCTGGCCCTTCTGAGAAGGCCCCTGCCTTCTCAGAATCCCTCTGGCTCATCAGGAAGGCCGCCTCCCCCCATCGCACCACCCCCGCGTGCACAAGGGCTCGACCTGAACACGGCTCTTCGTCCAGTGGCCGCTTCCCCCTGCTTGCTGTGCTCGTTCCGCCCCTGCTGCAGCTCGGCATCGCCAGGACACCGCCTGGGCCGATCCTCGGTGCGCGCCACGGGCCAGCGGGCCGACTGCGGGCACGTGCTCGGGACAGGGCAGGCGCTGCAAGAGAAGGGCAGGGGCGCGGCTGCGACGGCGGGGCCCGCGCGCCCCGCAGGCGCCTCGCGCAGGAGGGCGCCGACGGTGCTGCCGCAGCCGAGCCGCGCTGAAACGGATGCGCGGCAGGGATGCGGGGGCCCTGGAAGGCCACGTCGACGCTTTGCGAGCGGGGCGCGGCCGGCGGAGGCGGCCGAGGACGGGCCGAAGGGGAGGGGTGCAGGGGCACCCTCGGGAAGTTGCTCCTCCTGACGGTGCGGGTTATAACTGCGCACCTGTCCTGGCCGGGCCCATCCTGGGCCCAGGATCGGTGCACACACGCCACCCTGCCTGAGCCAGGGAGGCCTTAGAAGAAGAGCAAACTGCATTCGCATGGCCCTTCGGGGGTCCGCGCGGACTTCGTCGAGCGGCACTCGGACCGCTCTGGTGGCGCCTCCGGCGCCGCTCCTGGCGCGCTCCGCGCGCCAGGGAAAAGGGGGGTCCAGCGCCGCTGCCAAAAGTCCGCGCGGGCCTCCAAACAGCGTATATTTGTGCAGTTTGTCTCTGAGTCGAGGCGCATCATGGGTGAGCCTTCATAGGAGCCTGTGTGAACCTCCGCGGCCCTACAATAAACGTGATTTCGACCGGATTTCGTCCAGAATTCGACCACCGCTCTTCAACCTTTCGTCCAGATTTCATCCAGACTTCATCCAACTGTCGACCACATCCGGCAAAATCCGAACGAACCCCCCCAAACAGCAAGGAATTCTGGGACCCCCTGAGGCCTCCATCAAGGACCGCACAAAAGAGATCAGAGCGGATCTCCAACAGTTTATGCTTGCGCTGTTGTTTATCCTTCGAGGCGTCACACCGATCCTGGATCGGGCCTGACCAGGGTCGGTGCAGGCACACAGTTGGCACACGGGCACGGCCTGCGCTTTGCGGGTTGGGGTCGAAGCTCCCAGATGCGAACTCTGGGAGGCAACCTCGGGGGGTCCTCTGTTCAGGCGGCGACATCCGAACGCTGCCCCCACCAACCATCGCGTCTCCTGGATCAATTGGGGGGCGAGGGCAGGGTGCGGGCTTCGCCACGTGTTCGACGAATTCCGAACCCCACCCCGGCCGCCCATCGAGTTGCCCGAATCGCTGATAGGCGAGGGTCGGGTTCGGATCTCGCCGCCGATCGCGGGAGCGATTAAGCCTGATCAAGGGGCCAATAATCCCGAGTGGGCCACGTGAAGCAAAGAATCCGGCTGGAGCACCCGGATCAAACCGGACTAGAAGCGGGGTGCGGCCCAAGCAGGGCGGCGTTCAACACCTCGGACACGCCAGCGCCGATGCGGAACTGAACCCTTCAGGTCACCTACCTTCGCGCATCGCGCCCCGCGATGTGAGACACGTGACCGTGACCATATTCGCTCCATCGCGCCCTCGCGTCGCACTCCTGAAAAGGGGCAGCCCCACCAGGCCCAAACTTCGACGTTCGAAGCATGGTACCTTCGGGGGCCTGCAAAACACTTAGATGCGCGACGGGGATTTATCCACAACCACCACCACGAGATCGATATTATGGAATTCCGCAGGCGGTGGATATGGACAGACTTGGCCCTCCCAGGGATGTATTTATATATATATATATATATATATATATATATATATATACCCTTTTCTATATTTTTACAACCCAGGGGAGTGGGACCCCCCCCCCCGGTAAATCCGTACCCCCAGGATCTGGGGATTTTCGGACCCCCCTGGACGCTCTTGCAAGGGGTCCCCTGGGCCTCCGGTCCACCTGGACGCCCTTGCCGGGCCTAGCCAGCGGGCCCAAAGCGGTCAGGAGGGTGGCAAAACGGCCCTGCAAAGGCCCCAAGCGGCTCCAAGAACCCACTGTGCGCCCGAAGACGGCCCAAAGAGCACTCCGATTTGCACCTCGATGCGACAAAAAACATTGATTTTCGCATAGTTTTTCAGAGATTCTTGGAACCTCGGTTCTTCGGTCTTCCGGGCGTCCGAAACCGCCCGAGAGGCACCGAAAGTCGTCCCAAACCAAATCAGACCGGCATCCGGACAGTCCAAGCGAGCGCCAAGATGTCCCAACAGGGCCTTGATATGGCTCCAAGAGATGCCCATGACGGCCCAGGACGGCTCCAGGACGCTCCCCAAAGCAATCCACATCATGACCCGGTCGTTGAGGGAGCCCGGGTTCGCAGCAAAGCGGCCCGAGGAACCCACCAGAGGCTTCCGAAGGGAGCCCCAAGAGGCCAAGACCGTCGAATTCCGATGGAGAAACACACATTTCTAACATGTACGGGTTTTGCGCCTTCCGGGATTCAAACACGGACAAAGACGCCCCCCAACTGTTCCAACTGGGCCCGAAAGGCACCGACGACGGTCCAAGAGGGCCCCAAATCGACGCAAGAGACGCCCAAGACAGCCAAAAGAAGCTCCAAAACTGTCGCCGAAAGGCCCCAAGGACTCCCACAGAGGCCCCCAACAGGCTCCAGCCCCCCCAGGAGGCCCAAGCCAGGCTCCCGAAAGTACCACAATAGCTTCCAAAAGGCCTGCTGGCTTTTACGAGCTCCCCCAAGAAGCTTCCGAAGAGAGCCTCAAGAAGCCACAATCGTCGAATTCCTGAAAGGAAACGTGCATTCCTAAGATTTACAGGTTTGGCGCTTTTCGGTATTCCAACACGGACCAAGACGCCCCCCTAACCATTCCAACCAGGTCCAAAAGGCCCCGACGACGGCCTGAGAGGGCCTCAGCTCGAGCCCAGAGACGCCCAAAACGGCCAAAGGAAGCTCCAAAACTGCCGCCGAAAGGCCCCAAGGACTCCTACAGAAGCCCACAACAGGCCCAAGCTTCGACGCCGCCGCTGCGGCGGGAGGGGCCTGAATTCGCGCCGTGCGCTTGCTGGCAGTGACGCAAAAAACTCAACCTCTCCCCACTCCCACCAGGGTCAACGGAGCAGAAGTCTGAGAAAAAATGTGGAATGTTTTTCAGACGAGAGGCTGCGAAACAAGATGCACGGCGAGAAGCGCCAGTGCATTTTTGTGTATGTATATATATATATAGACATACACGTAGCATACTCTAATATAGTATAATACAAACTATAATATAATACAATATATGATAATAAACTATAATACAACATAATATATTATGACATAAAATATACAATAATATAATACAATAAAATGGAATATAATATAGTATCACATAATATGATACAATAAAACATAGTAAAATACGATGTACTGTACTATAATATAATATTATATTATACCATATAATGTAATATTATATAATAGTATATAATCTAGTATAATGTTATACAATATAGTGGAATATTATATATATATATATGATATGAAAAATATAATATGAAAATGATATGATATGAAATGATATGATGTAATATAATGTAATATATTATGATATAATGTAATGGAATACGATATAAAAATATAATATAATATATAATATAATATAATATAATATAATATAATATAATATAACCCAATATATCATATATATATATATATATATATATGTTTATATGTATATACATATATATATATATGTATCAGAGGTTGGGGGGTGAGATCGAAGCGGAACGGAGAGCCCCCCTACCGGGAAATCAATTTCGGATTCGTGTTCGTGCGTGCCGTGCGTGCGGGCGAAGCGAAACTGCGTGGCCGGTCGAGAGGAAAGTCTCCTGTGGCTGAGGCGCGGCCAGACCAAATGACTCCCTTCTGGCAACCGGTGCCGCACGGTGTCCCGCCGGTGTCCCGCTGTGGCTGATGCGCGGCCAGACCAAATGACTCCCTTCCGGCGCCCGGTGGCCCGCGGAATCTGGCCGGTGTCCCGCCGGTGTCCCGCCGGTGTCCCGCCGGTGCCCCGATGATGACGGTGATGATGATGACGATGATGACGACGACGACGATGATGATTATGATGATGATGGTGATGATGGTGATGATGGTGATGATGATGACGATGATGGTGATGATGGTGATGATGGTGAAGATGAGGATGATGATGATGGTGAAAATGGCGATAATGGTTGTGATGGTGATGACAATGGCGATGATAGTGATGATGGTGATGATGGTGGTCATGATGATGATGACGTTGATGTTTGTGATGGTGATGGTGATGATGATGGTGATGATGTTCATGTTGATGATGATGATGACGTCGATTGTGGAATCGATTGTGGAATTGAAAGTGAGATCGATAGTGAGACCGAATGAAAGACCGATGTTGAGATCGATAGTGAGATCGATTGTGAGATCGATTGTCAGATCGATTGTGAGATCGATCGAATGGGATCGATAGTGGAATCCGGTGTCCCGCCGGTATCCTGTCGGTGCCCCGATGATGACGGTGATGATGATGATGACGACGATGATGATGAGGATGGTAACGGTGATGATGGTGGTGATGGTGATGATGGTGATGATGATGACGATGATGATGATGGTGATGATGGTGATGATGATGACGATAATGATGATGAAGATGATGGTGGTGATGGTGATGATGGTGATGATGGTGATGATGATGGTGACAATGGTGATGATGGTGATGATGGTGATGATGGTGATGGTGGTACAGACGATGATGACATTGGTGCTGATGATGATAATGTTGATGATGGTGATGATGGCGTCGATTGTGAGATCGACTGTAAGACCGAAAGTGAGATCGATAGTGAGACCGAATGAGAGATCGATAGTGAAATCGATTGCGAGATCGATCGTCAGATCGATTGTGAGATCGATCGGATGAAATGAAAAGTGAAATCGGTAATGCGACCAGATGTGAAACCGAATGCGAGATCGATTGTGCTATCGAAGGTGATATCAATAGCGAGACCGAATGTGAGATCGATTGCGAGATCGATAGTGGGATCGATTGTGAGATCGATTGTCCTATCGATTGTAAGATCGATGGCAGTGCGTCGTCGGAACAGCAATCACCACTGTTGCCCATTGCAGAAATAATGTTTGTGAAGAACGAACCCCTTTTCCTTCGCCGCATGAAGGCGCCTGGAGCAGAACGGTTGCGGGCGACAACAATGCATATCAATGAAACGATATTCAACATGTCAGCTCACGCAACGATAACA